AAGATTTTATTTATTTATTTGACAGAGAGAGAGACACAGCGAGAGAGGGAACACAAGCAGGGGGAGTGGGAGAGGGAGAAGCTGGCTTCCCGCTGAGCCTGATGTGGAGCTTGATCCCAGGACCCTGGGATCATGACCTGAGCTGAAGGCAGACACTTAACGATTGAGCCACCCAGGAGCCCCAATTAAGTCTTGATATAATTCTTTCTTCCTCCATTCCAATCAACCTACCATGGGGGGGGAGGAATTTCTTTATGCTTTATTCCTCAGTTCCTCGGTACTAATGGGCCAGTTTTAAAGAGTATCTTTAACCCATTGGCCTTGAAACCAGAAAAGGAAAAAAAAGATACAATCAAACTGCATCACTGTAACTCTGAAAAACAAAAACAAAAACAAAAACAAAAAACAAACAAACAAAAAAACACTAAGAAAGAGAGGATGAGGCTGAAGCTAGATATTACACCATTTGGGCAATTCTCAACATTGCCAAATTGTCTGACAGCAATTAGATAACATATTCTCCCTTCCATGCTCTCCCTGAACCTTAGGGGATAGAAACTTAAGAACTACATTTCCCCAAATCCCTGCCAGCAAAGCTAGAGTTGTATTCCACAAATGAGAGAAACATGAATTCTGAAAAGCAAAAGAGAAGCGAAAGGTATTGTTGAGTCTATGGTTAGAGAAGGGGGCAGGATTATGGGCTTAGCAGGAGACAATAAAATTTTTTTAATTGAAATCTCCTTGACACATATTACATTAGTTCCAGATGTACAACACAGTGTTTGGACAAGTCTATATGTTATGCTATGCTCACCACAAGTGTAGCTACCATCTGTCACCATACAAAGCGATTACAAAACCATTGACCATATTCCCTATACTATACTTTTTATGTCTTGACTTACTCATTCCATAACTGGAAACCTGTACCTCCCATTCCCCTTCACTCATTTTGCCCATTTCCTACCACCTTCCACTCAAGCGGGCATCAGTTTGTTCTCTGTATTTATGGGTTTGCTCCTGCTTTTTGTTTGTTTTGTTTTCTAGATTCCCTATACAAGTAAAATCATATGGTATTTGTCTTTCTCTGTCTGACTTATTTCACTAGACATAATACCCATCCATGTTGTCACACATGGCAAAATCTCATTATTTTTTATGGCTGAGTAATATTCCTCTGTGTGTGTGTGTGTGTGTGTGTGTGTCCATTCATCTAAAAACAGACATCAGGAGGCAATAAGATTTTATAGATACATAATTATAATTATAATTGCAGCCATTGGAGTGAATACATTGACTCATGTTCATGTACAGAAAGGAAAGAGAGCTAAACTGTCTAGGAGTCACCATTATTTTCCTTTTTTTGGTTGTGTCAAAGGCCTACTATTTCATCTTGGACAGAAACTCTGATATAAAATATCACACAATTTCTCTAATTTCCCAAAGTCTTTTTATTTCAACAGATAAAATCACTACATAAAAAGATATTTTGTTAATGGGTTAACAGAATTAATTAGATCACATATATTAATGGATCATTAGTTGGATTCTAATAATTTACTACTACAACTGGTGATACAGTAACATACACATTTCCTACAGGGTAAGAACTCTCCAAAAGGGAAAGACAACCCTTTTAACCACAATTATCTATTAACATCTTAAACAAAGTAACTGCTATTTAAAGGACAAAAAGCTTCTTCTTGGATAGTTACATCAAGTCCAACAGAAAAATCAATTCATCCATTACATGATATATTACATACATATATTATTTTTTGTTTACTTCTTACTTTTTCACTGTTTTCATTCTTTTTCAGTATTCCACTGAAGCCCACGTCAAGTCCACATCAAGAGCTTTACTTCTTCATTGGAAATAATTCAACAAGAGCCATAGTATGAATTTTAAATATATCCATAAAATGAAACTCTCCAGTTCATAAAGTTAATATTTGTAACTAAATGTAATATTCATATTGAAGCTTTTTAAAATTTAAGAAATCAATTCACAAATTCAGTCATACTGACAAAATGTGATTACAATAAATCTTCTTTAACAGCATCCAAAGAAGTACAAATATTTTAACATCTCAGTGAGTTTTCATAAACATACTAGGGTTTTAAGCATCTTTGATTGGGTAGTATTGAAATAAAAATTGTGTTCCAAAAATCATTCAATGAAAAATAGTATAGCATCTACACTCCACTGTTTATAGGTAAAATTTTGTTATGTATATATTTATAAGTTATCCAAAATACATAGCTAACTATTTTGAGAGGAGGATAATTAATGTTTAAATTGGTCCAAATAGAATGTTTGCAAGTGTAATGAATGCAATGTTTTTAATATCTCTTACCAGGTGGTTCCATTTTGATGAAATTATATTGTTTTATTAATTCTGAAGGGGTCCATGGAAGATGAATTTCAAAAAATAACACTGCAGTGTTCTGTAAACACATTAGAGCTATGTATCTATGCAAAAACTGTTTACAAATAACCACAAAATGTCGCAAAATGCCACAAAAATTATTTCCTAATCGGAATTAATTTTTAGTGAAGACAAACTCAGCTCTAACATAGGAATAATACATGTTCCAAAAGATACAACAATTAGAAGTGATTAAAAGTTTTGAGCTGTATGCTTATTTGTTAGGTAAATAGTATCTCTATAAAGTAGTCACAACTTGAAATGAGAAGCTACATGACCGTTTACATTTCTATAATTCTGAGAATTTCAGCCTTCTATTCCGATTTGAAGAAAGTTTTCACTAAATGTGCATTTGGTTTTAAGAACAATTGACTAACTGAACGTTAAAGATTTCCCCCATCACTGGCCAAAATACTAATTATATAGCAAATTTCAGCTTATTTCCTGGAAGTCGTTCAAATAGTTGGTAATGCTCCCTGAAGGATTGGTCCATAGGAAGAATAATTAAAAAAAAAATACAATAAAGAAGAGCCTGTGGCTTCCTAGGGAAATTAATTTTGGATAGTCTTTTCCTCAGATGAGGGGGCAGTGAGCAGCACATCAACCCCCCATCGATGCCCTAATATGATTTGAAAGGCAACTTATTTAGCCACCACTTTTTAGCAATGCTGATAATGCCAATTCCTTGTTCGGGTTTCCTTCATTCTGGGAAGTAGTCAAAAGCGTCCCTCTCTGCTTTTACTCAGACTTTGACCAGCCATCCAAGCAACTGTAGGCAAACTGTATGTTGTATCTTTGAATAGGAGTCTTTTCACCAAGGCTTTGCCACCCAGGTTTCCACAGATTCTACTGCAGATGCTTCCATTCAGATCCTCCTTTTCTTCCTTGAAGTGGGAAATCAGGATGCACCCGGGAGCTCTCCTCAACCAGATTTATAGCTCTGGTCAGAATTCAGCTACCAATTTTCATACCAGAGCTTCCTTAGACGCTGGTAGCCTCCGTGAAAGAGTCATGGGGGCCACTGTTCTTTTTGACTTCCAGGTTCTTTTTAGTCTTGAATGTCACAGACACCTCAGAGTGGATGGCATCCAACCTCTGCTCACAGTGGAAGGCTGCGAGGAAAGCCTTTCTATAGTTGCTGTTCATCCAGCCATAGAGGAGGGGGTTGGCAAAGGTGGAACACATGGCGATAATGTGGAACACGGTGAAGATGAGTTTGTACTCCTTCAGGTCAAGGACTTGGTTGTCAATGTCCACAGCAAGCTGGAAGGCGTGGAGAGGCAACCAGCTGACCGCAAACACCACGACCACACACACCAGCATTTTGGTGGTTTTCTGCCTTCGCTGATGGTAGTGATCGTTGGAAGCTCCAGGACTCATATGGTTCTTGAGTTTACTCCAGATACGGGTGTAGGAAAAGGATATGATGCCCAGAGGCAACACATACAGGATTAACAAGGAAGAGAGACTGTAGACAGTGCCATAGATGTTCTTCTCCTCGCCAGGCCACTTCTCTGTACAGACCACAATCTCAAAGTCAGGAATAATCTCAATCAGCGAATACTCGCGGAAGATGGCCAGGGGGCTGGCTAGCAGGGCGCTGATGCCCCAGGCCATGCCAATAATCAGGAAGCTGATTTTCTTGGAGATCTTGCTCTCCAGGTGGTAGACGATGCAACGGTGCCGGTCCAGGGCAATGACTGTCAAGGTGATGGTGGACACTTGTACTGCCAGGCCCTGGGCATAGGGAACCAGGTGGCATAGGACAAGACCCATTTTCCACTCCCCCATTAAGGTGTAGGTAAGAGTGAATGGCAAGCACAGGGTGTTCACCAGAAGATCTGCCACAGCCAGATTGGCAATGAAAAAGTTGGTTACTGTGCGCATGCTCTTGAATTTGATCACCACATGAATCACCAAAGAGTTTCCAATTACCCCAAGCAAGATGATGGAGCAATAAGCTAATATGAGGATAATCCGTACCTCAATCAGCATGGTGCTGTCTATAAGCTCTGGCTCAGCGTCGGGGGCCAGCTCATCTCTCGGAGTGGTTTGCCATGGATGATACTTCTCCACCTTCATTTCGTCCACTGTCTGGTTCTCATCAGCCTCTGCACCTACTGGGCCCATTTTCAGAAACTAGAACAAGAATCTACAACTAAAAAAATGAAGAAGAAGAAGAAGAAATATGGAACAAGGAAAACATAAGGGTGACACGAAGGAATATCACAAATTGATTGGTTTCATTTTGTTTAGGGCTCAAAATACCTGTCCCCTGATCCCTAAAATTGCACATAGAGCAACATTTTAATAAAGCAGGCCCATTAATAAGTCTATTCACAAATATGGATGAATTAAACCAGATCCCTGAAACGTATATTACAATGGTAAAATGTAATACCTATAGTATAGACGTAATTTCAGTGTGAATGCTACCAAATTGAGTCAATCTGTTTTAAGTGGGATGAATGTTAGAAACTTTACCAATTAATTTTATAACTTCTATAAACTCATCAAATTAATTTTAAGGTAGGCAAAGAAAATGGCCTTCAATACCTTGACTGCTTTAAATTTATAAATATAGCAACAAATTGCATAGAAAAGAGAAAAATATTAAAACCCTTTGCATGGTGCCTGGACTTCGGGAGTATAACATATTTAAGATAAACTGAGCAGATTCCATTCCATAGCCATTCCTTCTAGTGTTTGGGTTAGTGTTAAAAATAGGTAGCCTGTGTAAAATAGCTGCATTTTTTGATGATCTGAAATCAACTTCCTACTGACATACAACAGAATCCCACATAGGATCTATACGAAAAGTATGTCCAAATCTGAAGTATATCTCTCTCTAACCTCTAAATATCAAAGTTTTGATACTTTTCTTCCCCAATTACAGCCCCCCCCAAGACTTTTCCTTCTGCATGCACTACTCCAGTCAGTGCTACCCCCATGGTTTACACCAGGTAAAGATAAAAAGCAGGTAGCCATTCTAGGCTCTGTCAACACCTTTAGCCCCCACATCTAAGAGAACCCTCAGACTGATCTGATACCTCTCTCAATGGTCCTCATTATTTCTACCACATTGACTTTGTCCTTCTCGATTTCTTACCACAATTACTCTAATAGTCTTGTGACTTATCTCACTTCCTCTTCTCCTGCTTTCATTCATTCATTCATTCATTCATTCATTCATTCACTTGACAATAATAATTGAGTATCTGCAAAATGCCAGGCCTGGTTCCACCCTTGTGATCCTTGCACCTACTCTAACATGCATTTAGCAAGCATTTAAAAATCTATGTCAAGAACCTAGGATTTGTGCTGGGGGAATGACAACAGGATAGAGTCTCCACTCGCAGGCTCTTACCTTTGATGAGAAAGAGTATTACTCTGACATTAAAATGGTCTTCCTGAAATTCAGATGTGATCATATCATTTCCCCCAGGTCTCCGGACTGCTTAAAACAATATAATATATTGGTTTCTAATGTGAAATTCTCTTTTCAAGCTTGTAAGAACATCCAGAGCCCAACATCATAGTAAGTTTTGAATGTAGTCATAATGACAAAAGGCTGCCACTGTTAATTCAGAACGTTTTTTAAATAAATTTGGTTTTTATTAATCATAATGGCATCTACCTACATTTGTAGATGAGTCATATTTATTTAGCCCACAGACAATGTCTGGGTGGGCCCCCAGCTGCATTCCTTACCCTTCCTCTGGAGAGCTAACTCTTGCAGACTGTATTTTCAGGCTCCCAAGTCATTGGGACGCTGGCTGAGTTTGATCATAGGAAGCATTGGCAGGTAATTAGAGGACAGAGGGAGGGAGAAGCCTCTGTCTTCTTCTCCCTCCCTCTCTCCTCTGGGAAGTGCCTCAGTAGCCTCTCTGTGGCTCTGGTTCCCACAGGACTAGTCCATAGTGATTTTATTTCCAGTGGATGGCCCTAGTCCCTGGGCTTTGGTCACACCAAATACTCCCTGTATCCCTCTGGCTGGGGTGGTAATGACTCTTTGCTCTTGCTAATCCTTGAGTGGCCTCAACATCCTTTGTTCAGCTTCCATCACTTGTGTAATCAATTCTCTGCATTTAATTTTCCCTCCCTTACATTCTGGAACAGGTTCTGTTTTGCATGATCTGCTGGTACCATGCGTATATGCTGTCATTAATTTGCTCTCCCACTAATAGTTCTGCACATAGAAGTTGATAACACTGGCCTACAGAAGATAATCCCAACTCCATTATATGACATTCAAAGCTTTTCTTGAACACATTCCTGCCTATCCTCTGGCTTCATCTCTCCTGACATATCAATGCATATGTTATGCCTTAGTCATACTAAACTGTTTCCAATTCCAGCAGTGCGTCAGCTTTTCTCATGCCTCTCTGCTTTCCCTGTTCTCAACTGGGAATCCTCTCAGTTACCCCAACAATCTGTGTTCACTTCTAATACTGCAAGAAGCATAAGCCAAAACGCAATTATTTCCCCACTACAGCCATCTCTTTCAGAACAGAAACCAGATCTTTTCCATCCATTGTTTAATCCTTAGCACAGTATCTAACACATTAACGGTATTCAATCATTTGGCAAAACAAATGCAAAGCTAAAGGAAAGCATAATTTTACTGAATACTTGAAGTCAGCAAAATACAAAGTAACAATTCCTTTCCTTTCCTTAAGATAATTGCCTGTACGGAATTCCTTGCTCTGATATGACATCCTCCTGCTTATTTTCTGGTTCTTAGTCAGGTAACCACCCTTGCAAGAAAGTTGTTCCAAGGTCCCTCTTAATTCAATACCTGATTAGAGCATTAAAAACTTCCAGTCAATATACACCATAAGGAAACTTCCTATCTCAGGGGCCTATCAAACACACACACACACACACACACACAGACACACTCTTACAGGAGCCTTATTGCAGAGAGAGAGAGAGAGAGAGAGAGAGATTTCCCCATATATTCATATATTGGCTTTACTGATATATTCTAGTTCTGGCTGCATAAATTTCAAATAACATGTTCCAAGGAGCCTAGACCCTCTTTTGTATTTGCCTCTATTCTCTAGAAATTAGAAAAAAAAAAAGTGAAACTAATTATCTAAATCTTGCAGTGTATATTTGGTAGGCTCTATCATTCCCCCTAACCTCAGCACAATTAGTCAATCCTAACTCATTAACAGGATTAACAAGACTCCATGAGGTCTGAGTTTGAGGTTTGCCACAAGCTAAATTGAGAGTAAGCCTAAGAGAGAAGAATATTAGTTTATTTATTAACTTATTTTGTTTTTTCTTTTCAGTCCCGTTTTCTTTATTTCAGAGCCCTTTTATTTAAAGCTTCTCTGCAGGAATGATTATTGATCTACAGGCAATTTGCATATGGACACTAATCACAGTTCTCAAGCACACTGCTGGCTTTCAGCCAGGTCAGAGCACTCCCTAGAGAATGTATCATTTTATGATTGGGCTTCTGGAAATTGGAAGAGGAAAAGAGAGTACATAAAGGGAGCTGACTGATTCAAAACTCAAAAGCACAACAATTAAAAGATACGTAGATGAGGGAAAAACCTTTCTTTGAAACAAAGCAATAGAAAGCATTCACATGGGTCAAATCATTTTAGAACTCTGAATGGTAGAGTTTTCTTGAATAAGTGAATCTTCAGAGTTTCTGTTATAGAAATATTTCCTTGTAGAATAGGAAAATGACTTCAGTCTTCTTTTTTCAGAGATAAAGAACTTCAAATTACCTGAGTGGGAAACCAGTTTCTGCTTTAGCTGTATATTTAAATTTGCAGGGCCTTTTGCAACAGAACTCTTATTACCACAGGCTGGCCTTAGTAAAACTTAACATCTTGTCAATCACAAAAACTTCCAGGAGTGTTTGCCAGGGAAAAATCCCAGAAATCATGCCACACACCCCATACTTAGTCCTAGGGAGAAGGCAGTGGACTCCAAGAATGCTACATCCAAGACATGACTGCTTCATAAGCAGAAAGTTGAAGCTATTCTCCTAAGGGTCTGCTAATGGATCATTTACCCTGTGTTTGAACTTCTGGCCTTTCCTTGCCAACAGCATCATCTATTTCATGTCACTGAGTTTAAATGATGTGACCCTATTGCAAAACGTCTTAAAGCTCTTACTTTTGCCTCCTCCTCGTGCACCATATGCTCCTACCCAGTGGGTGAGCCCTTCTGGTGCAAAACTAATGAATGCTTAAATAAATGTACTTATTCTTGAACAGCTTTGGAGAATCCAATATAACCTTCTGCTTTAGACAGGTGTTTGATTTTTTTTTAAGAGACAGAAACAGTAACAACTTGCTGCTCTGGAAAGATGATGACCTCTCTCTAAGAAGGTCAAGGAAAGAGTAAGAACCTTCAGCAGAAAAGGAAAATTCTAGCTAAAGTATAAAATAGTGATGGTATCAACCCAACCCCCACCTTCAACCTAAGTGAGAGGGGGAAAAGAAAGTCCTCACACTCATGAGGACCTCCCTTATATCCTCTTCATAGGACCAGAGTTCTTCTTTTGGGGATATTCTCGTTCCCAGAATGTGAATCAGGGTTAGAACTTACACTTACTTACCCTGCCCTGGCGTTTCTGCTGAGATGTGGAAGCAAGACGTGTGCAGCCCGTCCGTGCAATGACTATCTAGCCCTCTGATCCGAAGAGGGTACTGGAAGGTCCCCAAAGGCAAGCCCAGCTGCGTCCGTTCCGACGGGGCAGGACCGCCAGCGCCGCGCGGAAGAGCACCCGAGCCACTGGGAGGGGGCGCTGCTCGGCTCTGCAGCCGACCTCTGCGGCCAAGCGCGCTCGGGCACCGCACTGCGCCGCGCACAGCAGCGGGTTGAGCCGGAGAGCAAGAGAGGCCGGTGGGGGGCGGGGGCACGGAGGTGGTGGCTGAGGCAACTCTTCCCTGAAGGAAAAGAAACAGGTGCAGAAGGTTGGGGGCGACGGTCCCGCCGCGCCAAGGGCTGGACGGAAGTTTCCGTGGCGAGGCAGGGGGACAGCGTCCACGGTGTGGCCTCTGCCTCCGGGTTTGGAAGCCCGCGCGGCGGGACCGTACTCAGCGCGGCGCCCCCTCGCGGATCCCCACTACCACCTGCAACTGCTACTTTCACCCCAATTCTGGGGTGACCTCCAAGTGTGATACT